ACATTTAGGATAATAATAATGACAGTTTGTCTAATATCTTTTTCTCTGCAAAGTACACATTAGTTCATTCAATCTTTACAAGAAACCTACAAGTAGACATCATCATCCTTGTGAAAAATGACAAAACTTGAGATTCAGAGAGGGTAAGGAACTTGCTGAACATTGCACAGCTACGAAGAGGCAGGGTAAAGACTTGAACTCAGATCTCCAATCCCAAATCCCATGACAACCTCCCTCCTTTTTTTTTTTTTGTGAGGAAGATCAGCCCTGAGCTAACATCCATGCCAATCCTCCTCTTTTTGCTGAGGAAGACTGGCTCTGAGCTAACATCTATTGCCAATCCGCCTCCTTTTTTTCCCCAAAGCCCCAGTAGATAGTTGTATGTCACAGGTGCACATCCTTCTAGTTGCTGTATGTGGGACACCGCCTCAGCATGGCTGGAGAAGCAGTGGGTCAGTCCGTGCCTGGGATCCAAACCCGGGCCACCAGTAGCGGAGCATGCACACTTAACCGCTAAGCCACGGGGCCGGCCCCCCTCCCTCCTTTTTTTAAACTATACTGTGGGCCAGGCCTGTGGCATAGTGGTTTGGTTCAGCGCTCTCTGCTTCAGTGGCCTGGGTTCACGGGTTTAGATCCCAAGCATGGCCATACTCGTCAGCCATGCTGAGGTGGTGACCCACATACAAAATAGAGGAAGACTGGCACAGATGTTAGCTCAGGGCGAATCTTCCTCACCAAAAAAAAACACTAACAATTACTTCCCTGCCAAGTTTTACACTTATTTTTCCTTGCAAGGTAGCTGATGGCTATGTATGATAGAAAACAGGGTAACTAGGTAACCAATTAGAGTGAGCAGGGGAGCTTTGGGAAGACAGGTGGTGGAGGGCGTGGCAGATCAGCCACCTGCCAGGTCCTCTCATGTCATTGTTTCATTGCTTTCTGCCTCTGGTTCTGCCTTCCTTCCTCCTCCTCAATCTTAGAATTCATGTTCCAATAAGAACAGGAAAAAGACTACAGGCAGAAGAGAAAGGAGTCATTTTCTCACCTTACAGAAAACCTGAGTAGGGAAAAGAAAGCCATGGGGAACATTCTTTTAACGCAGTGACTTGCAAAATTTCATTTGGGCACTCAAGATTCCCTCCACCACCTGGTCCAAAGCTGCCTTTCCTATCTTATTTCTCTTTTACTACGTGGGAAATGCATTTTACTCTGAGGTTAGGTCATAACACCAGGCCATAACATAAATATCACATAGAATAAATTTTTTCCCTGAAAAGCCTTCAAATTTCCCCAAAGTGCAGCTCTCAGCTTTCACCACCAGAAGCAGAAAGACCGTGACCCACAGTGGATTCCTGTCTTCTCTCTCATGCTCACTCTGGAACAAACAGTCATCAAGTGTAATAGCCTGCACACTTTTAATTTTTCTCTTCTTTCTATTGAGATTATATGTGTGATTTAACACACATATAATGCAACTCCACTGTACTTGCTTTTCTCCAAAATCTGCTGAAGTGTTCCACCACTATGCCCTTGCTACGCTGTTTCCTTGATCTGGAATGTCCTTCCTCTCTATCTTCTCACGTCTAGATGCCACCTCCTTGGGAAACCATTCATGACCAGCACTTCCACTTTTCTTTACCCCAAAATGCTAGCAGCAATCTGGACTTCCCCTGCACTGAATCTATCCCTTTTAAGGACCTGAGCACTAACCCCATGCATTGAGTTCATTACATCATAATCATAATCCCAGTAGACTATACACTTTCTGACAGCAGAATTCATGCGTGGCTCATCTTTGCATCCCTAGGGACCGTCACCGTGCCTGACATACTGTGGGCCCTCAATATTTGTCAAATGAATGGATACTTACAAAACGGTAATTTCACACTAACTTTCTATTTTGGGGGTTTCTTATTTATTAAAAATAATAACTGCAACTAGATATTACTTCATTTTTATCCTATCAGAAATAAAGCATTTCCATTACTCCCGTGTAAAGGATGTGCACGGACAAAGGAGAATAGTTAGGGTAGACGAACTGGGGACTTAACATTTGACAAACACAACTGTGGGGAAGTCCCTTTGACTGTAGGAAAGGAGAGTGATCTGAAAGAAACCATTTCCTGCCCCACCTCTCCACCTAGTTTTTCAAGAGGGCACATAGGAGAGGTAGAGAAAGAAGAAAAAAAAAAGAATTAGGAAAAAAAAGCCATGTTTGTGCAAACTACCAATATTGTCCTGATTCTTACTAATTTTCCTGGAAGCAAGACTGGTTAACCTTCTAAGACCTCATTTCCTTTTCGTGAGTTCTCTGTGGTTTAGGAGCAGACAACTTGGGGATGAATTTTTTGCTGCCAATAGCCCAACTGATATTCCACAATCACTTTGTATGATCAGTGGAGCTTATTCAGAAGTCAAGATTTCATGGGAGCCCATATTCAAATGAAAATTAATATCCACAACAACGCGCACTGCTGTTTCCCAGGCATCGCCTTTTCTGCCGTTTCCTGATGCTTTCATACATTTCAAATCCCCACCCAACCAGCAAATCACAAAGAGAGTACTGCAAAGTCCACAATGAGAGAAGAGGGGCTTATTTTTCTTGTGGGTTATAACCACAACACCTATAACAACCCGCTCTGCACGTTTTGGCAGGACTGAGGGCAGGAACTGGAACTACCTCATAAAAGACCTGGCCCATTGTAAGCGCAGCTTAACTCCTTTAATATCAGTGTCCTTCTTTGAGCCTCTCTCTCAAGCATCCAAGGAGATGTTCACCAAACATACTGCCTTCTAAAGCCACCACCTGTTTCCTCATGCCACTGAGTTTGATTTGGGACTACCTAAGGTTTCCAAGGGGAAAGGGCAGGCGTGTGACTAATTTGAGGAAGTTCCTGTCACCATCCCTCCAGGATGGAATGTAGGTGGATGCAGTGCCAACTCTGAATCCAGTTTGGCTCCATCATAAATCTAATTTTCTGCAATCCTCTCTACCACCTCATGGAATAGATGTTATTATCCCCATTTTACAGATGGAGAAACTGAAGTTCAAAGAAATGAAATGCGTTACTCAAGAGCACATACTTATTAAATACGGGACCTCAGATTAAAACCTGGGGGTGCTAAATTCCAAAGTCCATGCTACTTCTGCCACGCCAACTGCCTCCTCCCTGTGCGAGCCTCCACATAAATGGGCAGCGGGCTGAGGAGCTATAACTGCAGGACACACAGCAAATTGGAGGCAGAGACTGGACTGGCACCACCTTCTCCTAATTCCTACTCCATATACTTGGCACTGAACTACCAATCTCTCTAGGCTGGGACTGCCTGGCGCCCACATTTTGTAGTGTCATAGTTGTCTATTAACTTCTACTTATAGAGTAAAACAAAAAAGGATGTCAGCCTCGGGGCCCTCCTCCTAAACCGCAGCTCTCACATCTGGACTGGCCTTTTTCCTCTTAGTCTCTTTCCTGCTAAAATTTTTGCTCAAAACCAGCTCAGGATAAATCTTTCTAAAATGCAAGCCTGGCCAGGATGTTCCCTGGTCAAAACTTTCTGTAGACCCCCACTGCTCTCAAGATAAACTCCTACTTCTTCACCTAGGTGTGAAAGGTTCTCATGCCCTGCCCCACCCTTACCTACCATATTAGTCTCATTTCCCACCACTCTATTTTTTGTCATTTCCTTCCTGAAACTTACGACAGCCATATTTTTAATGGCTTTAGCAAATTTTGATTTATGCCTAGAATTCTTACTCCTTCCATTTTAGCCTGGAGACATCCTATGCTTTTATCGAGGACCAGCTCATGTTACCTCTTTTGAGAAGACCACCCCACCTTCAGTCTCTCAGCACTCTGCGCTGACTCCCACATCCCCACATGGCACTCAAAACCTTGCATCCCGTTCTTAGTTTGCATGTTCTATTTCCTCCAGAGATGTGCATTACATCTCTGAAAACCCACCGACATGCAGCAGAGTGCCTAGATCACGGAACACTTGCTGATTACCTAGACTCAACGCCCATTTCCATGGAGATGTGGCAATGTACTGGTTTTATTTACTGAAAGCCAAAGCTGGCTCTAGTTTTTGTTTCTGTTTTTTTAAATTAACTAAACTCCATACTTTCTAGTTTTGAATGTTTAACTGTCAAAGGAAGAGCTGAGTGGTTTTGAAATTAAACTAAAGATCTTTAGTTGAAAGCCTTTGAACCAATTTCATTACAGTCCTGCTGGAGTAATATGCTTGTGCCCTAAATGTGCGTATTCTCTTCAGGTGCTCCCATAAGCCATTTGAAAGCCCTCTAAATGGAATCCTACTCTTGGAGACTGCCTTTGTTCTTGTTTTGTTAATGGCTCCCTTGGAAGTTTCTGGCAGCCTCCATTAAAAAAAGGGAGTTTTTCATCCAGGACCAAAGACCAGGAGGAGTCAGGTTCCACTTGGAATACTGAGGGAACATGCTGGTGTCTGATTCCTACCATAGCATTTACGTTTCTTTGCATTATAAACCGTTCAACAATGAACCAGCCTAGCCTTTTAAGATACTCAAACACATCTCACTTTAGCTAACAGGAGATGTCCCAAGAAAGTGTATGTAAACAATCCACATTTCTGATGCATCGGAAAAAAGGGTCCATCTGCACAAAAGGATGCTTTTGGTCCCCTGTGAAACTCATCACCTGCCTGAAAAACACGTTTTCTACAGCCAAGAGTGTCTCAAATCTGAACCTTAATTCTTAGTCCGACAGCCTAGCCTGTGCTTGGGTCTGATGACAAGGATGGGAGGCGAGCCCCAGGTCTGCTTAGCCTCTTCTGGAGCCTCTACCTGCTGTCACTGTCTCACCAGGCCTCACTCTGACGGAGAAGGATGAGACTGAACAGGAAACTCTGAAAGTGTGAAGAGGCCAAGGCAGCTGGGGCCTAGGGTCCTGAAGGTCCACCTTCATCCAGGAAAGGAGAGAAAGGGGCACATGGTCACTTCGGTGACAGCAGGGGGTGCTTACCTGTGATCATGCTCAGTGCTGACAGGCATGCTAAGGCTTGGACATCAAGGTTCAGGCTCTGCAAACTTAAGGAAAAGTCTTTAATGGAGTCGAGCCACTCCCCAAATCCACGAAGGCACTGAAGTCGATGCAGGACAAGTCCATTGCAGAACACAAACTTATCTTCAGCAGTGTTCGACCTACAAGACCAAGTCGTGGGGGTTGGAGAATAGAGACACATTAAACAGGTCTGTTCAGTCTGTCCAGCGGGACAACATCAAAAAACACAGGCACCCAAACAGCCATGGGGCAGCGTTCAGAATCAGCGTGGTGATTGAGGTACACAAGAGGAGCTTGACGAGTGAAACCTGCCCAGACACCCTCGATGAACAAGACTGTGCTCCTGGGACACACAACCACCACCACTTGTCTGTGCTGACTTTCTTGGTGAGCATCAGCCCCCGGGGAAGCTGGGGGTGGGGCACCTGCTCTCTTGTTACTAGAATCATTTGCTGGCTCAGCAGACACAGAGGAGCAGGAATTCACAGACTATGGAAGGGAAGCCCAGTGCACGGCCTCTGCTGTGAACACGAGACTGTTCCCTTCAGGGCTCCTTCGCCAGGACTTCCCCCTCGTTTTCTTAAATGTCAGAAACTGATAAGGCCTGAGGCTAGACACTACAGTTCTATTGTGCAGACTCGAAAAACCCTGAGTCACTGCAACTGCCAGAAGTCAATCATGAACTGAAAAGGGGCTTCAAGTGAAAAGAGTCCTTATTTTGTATTGCCTTCTCTGCTTTTAACAGTGGGGCTGCAGAGTGCGGTTTCTGAGTCTGCCCTGAGAGTATATTACGTCCATAATCATCCCCTTCTCTCTCATGAAAGGCGCCCTGAGACTTCTAGTGAGACATCACCACCTAGCCATGGGGTCTTGGGCACTCTTCCAATCTCTCTGGGCTTCCTTTTCCTTATCTACAAAACAGGAATTCTAATTGTTACCTCCTAAGATTGTTGTGGGAATTAAATATAGTCATGTGCTGCATAACAACGCTCAGTCAACGACGGACTGCATATGCTACGGTGGTCCCATAACATTAGTACCATCTAGCCCAGGTGTGTAGTAGGTTGTACCACCTAGGTTTGTGAAAGTACAGTCTATGATGTTCGCAAAACGATGAAATCACCTAACGATACATTTCTCAGAACGTATCCCCGTTGTTAAGCAACGTGTGACTGTAAAATAAAAGATTTGAAAGCCCATGCTCAGTGCCTGGTACACAAGAGGAGCTTGACGAGTATTAGGTGTAAGTAATTCTGAATTCTATGTGGTCCTTACTTTAATCTTAGTTTTCCTGTCATTTTCAAATCTCTCGCCACATATTTATCTCTTTCAGCCTATTGCATTAACAAGTTAATATCTCTTTAACTGTGCTTCTTGGATGCATAGGTTTATTCATTCATTCACTCAACAAGTATTTCCTGACCACTAATTATGTGCCATTCCTGGAGCCAAGCATTGGAGGAAGCTTGGTGACTAGGGCATAGATGGTGTCTGCCTGCATGGAGCTTATTGCTTTTACTTAATCCTTTGCTGCCTGCCTAATGGATGACAGTCACATTGCTGGCCTGGCTCCTGCACACACCTACCTGATTGGCTGTAATTATGCTAATTACTGGCACTCTACTTGTAACTCCACCTCTGTCTCTCCCACAGATCCCACCACAGAGGTGCACACCGGACAGAATGATTCAGTCTCAGAGTTTAAAACCTGGACCTCAGACCACTGGCATCAGAATCGCCACAGCACGAATTAAAAATGCAGATTTCTGGACTTCCTCCAAGGTATTCCAAACCAAAATAGCTGGGAATGAGGCGTGGGAATCTGTCCTTTAAACGAGAGATTCTGGTAACACAGTATGCAGTTGGGGAGGGGGTGGTAGGGAAGACAAAGAGGAGAAAGGTGATGATTTTTCCTATAATATTTGGTGAAATGTTGGTACCGTTTCCTAAAAATATATAACTGCAAGGAAGCAAAGAAGATGGAATTTAAAATGCTACATGTGGTCTTTATGAGAGGAGCTTAGATCCCAGGTTCTAGCTTTTTGAAAAATCGCTGCCTCTTGGTGTTTGGTGTCACTGAGAGTGATAGGCTGAACCAAATCTTTTGATCCAGAAGCTATTCTCTTGGAGTAAACACTGGGGGTTGAGAGGCTACGGGAAGTCTTTAGGGCCCCATCTGGTGTACTAGAACAGTGACTTGTAATTAGAAACCGGGAGGTGAATGCAATGTTCAAAACAAATACTTGCTCCTGGGAAATACGTTATGCACCATGAGGATCTTCCTAGATTCATAGAATGTTGGCGCTGCAAGGGGCTTCAGAGATGACCAAATCCAACCTCCTCTTTTTACAAAGGAGAAGACTGCATTTCCCGTGAAGCAAGTGCGCTGCTCAGGGTCTTACAGCAAGTCCATATTAGAACTGAGGGTAGAACCCAGGAGTCCTGGCTACCAGTCCAGTGCTCTACCCACTGCTCAGTGTTTTTAATGCCTGGTCATATTTCATATTTCCTTCTTAAGCAAATCTTTCACTGATGCTCAGTTACAAACAGAGCATATTTCCAACTTCTTCAAAGGAAGGAGTGGACTGATGAAGATAAAATAGTTGTAATTACCTGATGGAAAGTCTGAGAACAAACAGCTCCAAAAAGGCTGATTCTATAAGTAATGTCTGATCTTCTTTGGGGAGATCAGTAAATCCGGGAATCTTTTCTGCCCAGCTTCTGGATACATCAATGGAGGCTGTCAGAAGGTTGTAGAACTGTTGCACATGCTCAGCGTCTGTGCCAACAGCGGCCTGTTCAGTGGGACAGTACTAGAATGCAAACCGCAGAGAGCAGCGTTATCTCAACTCATCAGGGATGACAGCATCATTTGCAAATTGGCTCCTCCAAGATTGTCAATGCCTAAATCCCTACTTTTAGGTCCCACAGTTTTATAAAACCTTTTTGCATTCACAGTCTCATCTGATTCTCACAATGGCTCTGTGATATAAATAGAGTGAATTTTGTCACCACTTAATAGACAAAGAAATTTGCTTAAGTCCCATTAGTGCAGTGGTTTTCAGTCTTGACTGCAATCATCTGGGGAGCTTTAAGACACACTCATGTCTGGGTCACACCCACAGAGAGTCTGATTTAACTGGTCTGGGATGTGGACTGGTCATCAGGAATTTTTAAAGCTCCCCAGGTGATTCCAAAGGGCAGCCAGTGTTGAGAACCGTCACCCCAGGAGTTTGTCTCCGGGTGGGCCTCCAGGATCTACTGACGCCACTAAGGCACAGCTGTCTCCAAACAAGACGCTTAATTAGCCCGTGGGTCTCAAAGTGTGGTCCCCATACCAGCAGCACCAGCAGCCCTGGGAATGTGCCAGAGATGAAAATCTCAGGCCCCATGCCAGACATACAGAATCAGAAACTCTGAGGGGAGGCCCAAGAAACTGTTTTATCAAGATCTCCAGGTGATTCTCATGCACACAGAAGTTTGGGAATCACAGAATTAACCAAGAGAAGAGAATGATTTTTGCTTGCTGCAGGTGGATTTCTGTGAGATAAAACAAACCAGGAAGTGGTGGTGGGGTGGGTGGGGAGGGTGTCTCCTTGGCAGGGCCCAGGCAGCTATGTGCCATCAGACTCAGGACTTGTGACTCCTTAAACGAAAATTAAATAAAATTAAAAATTCAGTTCCTCAGTCACATTAGCCATATTTCAAGTGCTCAATAGCCACATGCAGTGTAGAACATTTCCATCACTGCAGAACATTTCCATTGGACTGCATTGATCTAGAGGGTCCCAGGAGAAGAAACGTATAAGTGGGAATAAAGCTTCTACCCAGCTTTTGGGTGTTCTGGGAGAGTCAGGGTTTTGCTTGAATCACCAGAGGAAAATCTTTCCTGCTTCAGGCAGGAAGACTGATATAGCAAGATAATAATCAAGGACAACCAATAACACAGACTTAAGAGATCTGCAGAAACACTCATGTGAATATGCACATCATTTTCTTGACACCAACAGAGCTGAGCGTTACATCCCTGCTCTCAGTTGATCCTCCTGGGAAATGGATTTTATTCCTTATTTTACAGATGAGGAAACCAAGGCTCAGAGAAGCTCAGAGAGGCTAAGAGACTTTCCCAAATTACATAACCAACAGTGGTACAGCCAAGATTTAAACATGGCCTGTGATTTCCAGTCCTACACCTCCTGGCTGCTAGTATGTCTGATGTTACTAGCTGGCAGCCTGTGGGATAGTTTTAAAAAGCATTTTGCTTTGATCTAATTGGAGGCCTCCAGGGATGTGTTCATTTGGTCCCATTTTTTGTCAGCAACAGAGTGACTGGCACATAATTGACCCTCAATAAATAGTTGTTAAATATTGTCCATTGAAATAGTCAGAGGAGTGCCTGGGTTTGCTCCAATGTCCTAACCTGGCAGGAGGAGGAACAGCCAATAAGCAGCCGCGTGCTTAATGCAGAACTACTTCGGTATGAGGAAATGAGCCACTTGTCTTAACTGGGTCTTTTTTTCCTTTGTGCTTTCAAGAGGCATCATGAAATAACAAAAGAAACATCAGAGAAGTGGCCGGCTACTTTAATCCTAGATTCGCCCAGGCCCCTAATTTGTGAAATAACATAGCTCTACTGCTTACTTTGGTTATCTGGGGTAAATTACTTCACTTCAGTTTTCTCCTCCGTAAAATGGGGACAATGCCTGCCTCGACACTTTGTTGTGATGTGTAAATAAGATAATATATGTGAAGGGCTTGACACATAGAACATGTTTAACAAATGATGACAGTGATGATACAGATCACGGTTATGATACCTGGAACTATCACTGTCCCTCGGCTTCTGTCTTTATAAAATGGGGGAAGGGGTTGAACCGGAAGCTTTCTAAGTTTCAGCCCTGACTTTCTACAATCCCATAACATCAGGTCTAGGTCAGAGCCCTGGCTCCTCTGTTCCCAATAATCCCAGCCAGGGCCTGGATTCTATGAAGCCCTGGCTGTTCTGTGATGTAATGGACCATGGGAGCAAAGTCCAGGAGAAGGAAACAGTCCTTCCCACGGATGTTCAAGGGTGGCAGCAGGATCCTGGTGTTACAGACTTCGCACCACCTCCTTTCGGCACACACACTATTAACTGGAGGAGAGTGAAAAAAAGAGATTTTATTTTATTTTTTTACTTTCTCTTCTTATACGAATCTAATTCCATGTGCTCTCCAAGGGCACGATGAAATTCAGAGCAGAACCACCTATAGACAGCTGCCAGCATTACATATGAGACTCCCAAGTGAGTGGTAATAAGGAATAGAGGGAAGAATGCTGGCTCAGGCAGCAGGTCATGGGGTCCTTCTCCAGGCTCTGGCACTGACTTGCTGTGCAGCCCTAGCCAAGTCACTTAACTTCTCTTGGTCTGTTTCTGCCTCTGAAGTAGGAAGTGACTAGACTAGCTGATCCCTAAGATTCCTTCTGGCTCTTGCATTCAGCTATCTTTCTGTTATCGGTTTCTAGTTTAATTCCATTGTGGTTTGAGAGCAGACATTGTATGATTTCTATTCTTTTAAGTTTGTGAAGGTGTGTTTTATGGCCCAGGCTATCGTCTGTCCTGGTGAATGTCCCATGTGGTGGCTCTAGCACTGGATGATTCTAAATGTTGCTATTCATTCCAGGTATGATGTTTTTGCCTAGAATTTCACACTCATTCAGCATTACTTTGTTTTAAAATAGTTTGTTATATGCGGAGAAAAAGACTAAAGGATGTAAACTTTTCCCTGGGAGTAGGACCTAACAGCTCCTTCCTGTCTGGCTTCCCTGAAGCCAGGGCTCACAACTCAACAACCTCCCCTCTTCCAGTATTTGCTCAGAATCCTCCAGAGTGCTTAGCTTTCACCCAGGGTCCTCTGCAGGCCTCGGTGCCTGCTGAGCTCACATTTCATGCATCCTGCACACAGGGAAATGCAGTCCCTGTCTGCCCTGCACGTGGGGTCCAGCAAGGAAGAGAGCCAGCAGGCCCAGTGTGCCAGACTCCAGCCAGACCCTCTGGGCTTCACCTGCAGTGATTCTGGTCTAAGTTCCAGAATTCTGGAGCCAAACTGGATTCAGCCTGAGCCACCAATAACTAGAGGGTGACTGGAGGGTCAGCATCCAATGCTGGGAGAAAAGACAGACTAAGCATCCCCTCTACCGAGCATAAGATTTAAAGAAACAGAACAAAACATTTTAGATTCTTCCTCTGCCTGGCCTAGCAGTTTATAAAAACCTCTCCAAGGAATACTGCACCTGGAGTTGGAATAATCAGACTCCCATCTCTGCTTCTCTGCTCCCCTACATCACTCTGTCTCTGATCTAGGCAGGTTTGCGGTTCACCAAAGAAAATCTAGAAATACTTGTTTATTGATCATTCCAATCGAATATAGGCCAAATAGAGAAAAATGAATCTTCTTCTCTAACTTTTTATTCCAGCCTAAATGGATAATTGATCCATCAAAAATCTGGCTTTACCACTAGTCAAAGACACAGTATTACATTTACTGACAGTTAATGCCTAATGGAGATTTCTGTGGAGCCCCTAGAATGAGAACCTAGGGCTGCAAACATCAATGGATATTATTTAAATTAAAATGAGTTTACACATTTTATATGTCGAGAACACAGCTGTACAAGTCAGACTTCAGCAAGAGCCCATGCCAGAAATAAGTTATTTGAATGCAAATTAAGTGACACCCTTGGTGAACACCAGCCCTAAAAATATTAGCAATGTGACGCTTTCATAGCAGAGTGGAATCTGATATTTGCTCTATCTCACTTTCAAGTTCAGGCTAAATATGTAGAATATCCTAAGAACATTTTATCTCCCCCTAGAATGTCACTTTTCCTTGGGTCTTTATATTTCTTTATAAATTTTAGACGTGATCATTCTATGAGCCAAACTATGTATTCCTATTATTAGGTTCTTACACTTTAAAAAGTGACACTTTAAAAATTGGCAGTGAATATATTTCCCAGTAGCCATTGAACAAATATTTGTTAAATGAATTAATTACTTTCTCAGAAATTTATACTCTATTGTTCATTCCTTTTCAACCCCAAGAAAAGCTGGGAAATAGGAGATTCGAGGTAAAACTGTTCTTACTAAACTGTATCGGTGGTTCTCAAACCTTAGTGTGCCAATGAATCATCAGAGGCACTTGTTAAAATATAGATTCCTGCCTGCCTTCCCCTCCCCCCAGTTCTGATTCAGTAGGTCTGGGTGTGGCCCAGGAATCTGCGTTTTAAAGCAAACACTCTGGCTCTTTCTGATAAAGGCAATCTGGGCACCACACTCTGGGAAATGCAGTGGAATTACCGAAGGTATAATGGTCAAAGGGTCAGGGAACGTGAAGGCTGGAGAGGATCATGCAAATGCATTTAGTCCAATCTCCTCACCATTCAGATGAGGAAACTGAGGCCCACAGAGGGGCAGGAACTGGCCTGAAATCATCTAGTGAATTGGTGGCAATTTGAGAGGGTCTCCTGAGTAGCTTCATGAAACCACTCTCTTTGCAGAGTCCTCATGCTGCCTACTTTGTAGGTCTAACGTGTTAGCCATGTTGCTTCTAGTCTATCTTGTTAACATATTTAAATGCCATTTGCTGGTGCCTGGTTTTATCTGAGCAACATCTCTTGTATTTGGAGTCTGTTACTACACTAAGTGACACCAGTTACCAGAAAACATCCTAGTTTGCTGAAAAATACTTGAAATGACCAACTAATGAGGACGTGAAGTGTATTTTCCCATTAGTAATTATGCAGGTTCTGAAGCCAAGCCCAGTATCTATATATACACACGTATCGCTAAATTAAAAGCAACTGTGGGGCAGAGACGAGCAACAGTTCGAGGAGAAACAAATCAAATGTGACATGTTTTGACTGCACTGATATACGACGATCTGAGCTCACTTTTGAAGGAGAGAAGTTTGGCCCAAAGGAGAAGTGAAGGTCCTCGAGCCAGGAATGCTTCACAGAGTGAGGAGCTCACTTTCTGGCCTCTGAAACATTCGCTCCCTCTGTGACTTGGAACACAACTCCACCTCCCTTTTCCACCAACAAGGAAAACCACTCACTTACTACCTTAAAGGCACATATGCTGGTACAAGAAGATTAAAACATACTTGTCTGGCAAATATTTTCTCATTTCTCTATGTACCTGATTTGCTGGGAGTAGCTAGCATCTTTAATAAATCGTTTTGGTCAAATCACCAGTCTTACTCAAACCTGACAGGGCAAATTCTTAGTTAAAATGTAATAAATTATGGGTACACACTAAAACGTTAACATCGGTTACTGCTAAAGAGTAGGATTAGGCAGGAAAAAATGAAGAGGAGACTCATTTCTCACTGCATCCACTTTTAAATGGTTTGCCTTTTTAAAAACCACCGGGTATATAGTACTATTATTGTAATTTTTAAATATCTAATAAACTTCAATTTTTAAAAAAAATCTGGTAAATTGCCATTACATAGAAGAACCAGTATGGTGAAATAGAAACATATCACCTTGAGTAATGAGATTTGGATCTAGCCCTGGCTCTGCCATGCAACCCTTTTAAGCCTTTATTTACTCCTTTGAAAATATGGGGGTTGGATAAGGTGATCTCAAGGTCACCTCCAGTGCTATGAATTTGTAAATATAAAACTTTAAGGAGAGGGTATTATGAAAATTGAGTTTCAATGAATGACATTCTTAAAAAAAATACTGAAACCATAAATTATACCACATAAAGCTGAGACTTAAATGAAATTACGTAAGAATATACGTGATGGTGCCTAGCTCAAAGTAAGCCCTCAATAAATTCATTACGCTTCATTCATTTTATGTTAATGTTTTTTTAGAGAACAAAGCAAATTCAATCTTGGTAACTAACAAGTTCCCTCACAACACATATTCTTATTTGTATATGTATATATAATCACTTGCATTTAGGGACAATAAGATGATAAAACTGTAGAGTTGGAAGGAACTTAATATCATCCAATATAACCTCTCTGCTTGTGAGAAATCCTGTTATTTGTTCTCCTTAGTTACTTCTTGTGTTGATGAACTCACACTTCCACAGCAGCTCTTGCAGCTAAGAAAGCTCATCCTTGTCTTCCAAGTGAGCTGGAAGGGGCCCCTCCTTCTCTCTCTGGATCTGCCCTGGGGAGCAACAGTTCTTTTGGCCACATGACAAAAGAATGACCTAAACCTGCCAAACTTTCTCCCTTCCTATCTACATATTTCCACTTCCTCCAACCATACCTTACACTTTCCCAGAAACCATGTGTTCACGTCCCTCTTAAACCCCAGCTTGGAATTGGACTTAATGATGATCTGACAGGACAGAGGCCATAGGACCACCACCAACTTGGTTCTGGTCCCATACTTCTACCACTGCAGCCTAAGGTAATTAGGCATCTCTCCCTTCCACCACACATATACTTTGTTGGTTCATATTGAGTGTGTATGGAATAAACTCCTGAGATCTTAACATGAACCATTGACAGGCCAAGGCTCTCCCATGTTTTAAAATTCTAAATGCTGAGCTTCATATTTATTTTTGTTAACTTTCCTCATGATGGTTTCAGCCCATCCTGTTCCAACCTGTCGAAATCACTCTGAATGTTGATACTGACATCCATCATATTAGCAATCCCTCCCAGCTTTCTGTCATCTGCAAATGTGATCAGCATGCTTCTATGCCTTCATCCAAGTTTTTAATGAAAACTCACTGTATTTTTTAAAAAGTCTTTTAATTTAATTGATTTGGGTCCAATTTTTGATAATTTTGTAAAGCTATCTAAAGGCAGGAGAATCCAAGCTATGAGGTTCAATCTGATTCCAAAACAAGGCAATTAAAATAAATACACTTTGCAAAATGGAGCCAGGCCCCAAAGGTAGTACCAATGTGACCCAGACGCTGGCATGGTCAATCTGCTGTTTTGGACAAAGCTAACAATTAAATTGGATAAATGTTTGTTGATGAGGATGATGACTCTAGTCTAACACACTGAATGGTGCAGAGGCAAGCAAACAGGCTGGATTGATTTTTCAGTGCGGAGACAGTTCCCACCTGGGACAACTCAAAGTGCTGGGGAGGGTTTGCCACTGAATAACTAATTAGGCCATGTAGACCAGTAATTGGATAATTTGGGGCCAAAAAATCACTTTTGGGGCACAAATTCTCTGGACTGACCATCAATAGTGATTTCAGATGCCCTGGAACCATGTCAGATCGTGTGCTGTAACCTCAGCGTAGGCAGTGCTGAGAAGCCTCATTAATTCAGACAAATTGCGTGAAGGAGGCCAGAGTGGCTTCAGGGAGGAGAAATCTTTATTCCCGAACGCTTTTCTAGCACCCACTCTCACTGAAACCAGAGACGCAGGGAAGCTTGGTACTGAGGAGCACAGACTTTGGGGTCCAATACACTTAGCTTCTAATTCTATTTCTGATACTTAAACATTAGCTATGTGACCTTGGGCAAGTCAGTCCTTTAGCCCTTCTCAGTTTTAATCTCCTCATCTGTGAAATAGAGATCATAATACTTACCTTAATGGTATCGCTACATGGCACCTGACAGGTATAGTGTTCTACTTACTAGAACAGTCAACAAATGGTAAAATGGGAAGGTTTGGTCAAGGAGATAGCATACAGGGCACTGTGCTAAAGCTTTGACAAGTATCAGCTTATTTATTCTTCACAAACAACCCCAGGAAGCAGATATTATTATTACTCCATAACACAGATGAGGGAACTGAGGCATTAAAAGGTTTAATCAGTTGCTCAAGGTCACCCAGCTAGCAAATGACGGTGTTGGGATTTTAATCTAGGCCTGCACGGTTCTGAAGCCTAAGCCATAAACCCCTGCATTATTCTGTTAGACTATTATTTGAGACTTGACTTTAGTCAAGAGACGCTACTTGTAATCAGAATAAGAGTCCTCAACCTTTAGTGCTAAGGATCTACCGTGCTTCTCATATGAAGTCTTGTGATCAGGTGCAGAGAGGAGGCTTCACAGCCTACAATGAGGGTGGGGATGCAGGAAGGAGGTTCACAGCGGGTATACTAACCACCCCTTCATTTCCATCAACATTGCAACCTAAAAGGAGGGCACAGAGCAGACACACTCACACTCTATGCCAGCTGTTCTACCAGAAGTTTGAAATACTGATTAGACCTGGGGAGGACAATCTGGTAGTAGCTGCCAAGCCAGCTGAACCAATGGGGATCCCTGGACTGGTGTTGCTCTCATTTGGTGCAAACTGTGGTTCTAAGTTTTCTCAGAGTGGAGGTGACTGTTCTTACAGTTCTGTATGGTCCTATGGTTCTTTAAATAGTTAAATCAGACAATGTACCACAATGTCGAGCATGTAGAAATTGCTCAATAACTCTGATCTTTTTCCTTTCTTTCCTTCTTTGAAGAAACCCTGTTTTACTAGAAGTTTGCTTTTCTAAGTCTTTTTAAAAAATGCCTTCCAGTAATGTTTACACATTTGCTCAGAAAATCCTTTTTCATGGTTCTTCTCTGTGTTATCCAAATTTCTGGAAATTTGCAGAATTCAAACTGAGGATATTTTACTATATCCCACATGAAATAAAAATGTTGATATGTTTTGGTTGACTTAAATAACAACACCGGTAATCATTTATGGTTTTCAAATGTTTTCTCAACCACCATTCCTGTGTGACTGATGTTCAAAACATCCCTCTGGGGTTAAATATTGTAATCATCTCCACTGTAGGGATGAGAAAGCCAAGAGCAGAAGCCAGGTGACACAGACAGGAAGCAGCAGAGGCGGCGTTCCATCCCAGTCCTCCTGACACCTCCCGATGTCAAGGCCAGAGCTTGCTCCTCTCCCTCAGCGGTCTAATCCCTCTGAGCAACCAGCAGGTCAATCAATGCCAATGCAACTGGGTAAACTGCTTAAAGACAACCGGAGGCTCACCCAGATGGTTTGACCACAATATGAAAAAACCAGTAGTCACTCTGTCTAGACTGTGAAAGAAATCTACAAATTGTAATTCACCTGTGCAGACTATCATTGGCAACCACCAGGAATCCTGCAACAATGGGTATGACAGGTGCAGCACTGTCAGGGTCATTTGTTAAGGCATTTAGAGATCCAATAAGGCAAAAATTATTTGGTGCAATGGATGCACCAGAATTGCTAAATGAAGTGAGAAATATAGAAAAGGTATGAGAACTGTTTAGCACAGTGCCAGGCACAAAGTCATTCAATCAACTCTTATTACTGAATATCGTGAATAGAGACCCTGATCATTCTCAAAAGGAGGACATCAAAAAACTTACTCTGGAATAATCGAGATCTCTGGGCGTTGAGTCTGTCAAAGCTCGGACAAGGGCATTCATCATACAGATCGGAGGAGAAGGTGGAGAGGGCTGAGAAGGTTCCTGCTGTAACGGGCTCTTTGGTTTGGAAGGCAGCCGACCTCTCCTCCCTTTCAGACTATCTGTACGGACAACTGATGCCGAGAGAAAGAAAGAAAAAATGTCTTCAAAGATATTCACGAATAGCCATAAATCACAAAAAGGAATCAAAACACTTTACAGTTGAGCCATCATTAATGAGACCAACCATTTAAAAGAGGCAATAAGTTTAGAATAATATTCACACAATGATTTAATGAGAGTTGAAACAAGCAGCATAAAAGCCACCCCATACTTACATTGGGTAATGAATTAGTCCTAAAAGTCTCCTTCTTAAATAGAACAAGGATGTATGTACACAAGCTCTCTATTGATTTTGAGAAATTAGAATAAGCAGTCCTCAGCTATTTTTAAACGTAAATATACACCGTAAAAGTAAAATGTTGGAAGGAAAGGGAAACAAGGGAAATTCACCATCCCAAAGTAAATATTAACATTTTTTCAGTGATATCTGAGAATACATATAAGCAAGATGGATAAAAATCATTACACCCATACCTTCTTTAACCATCCCGACACTGAGACACTTCTGAAATCGACAGTACTGACATCGGTTTCGACGTCTCTTGTCTACGGGGCAGTTTTTATTTGCCAGGCAAACATATTTTGCATTTTTCTGCACCGTTCTCTGAGAAAATACAATACAGAGATAGTCAACTAATAGTTTCTGGAAAGAGGTAGGACCTGACAAGATGTATTTTAATTACAATGTGAAAAGCGACAGTGCAATTCGTATAATTAGATAAATTTAATTTCCTAACACGCTAGCCTGCAGGAAAAACAATTTTATTAGTGTTAGCTGCTGACAGTGAAAATCATCTCAGATTGTTCTGACGCGAGTCTCAGGAGACGTTCAAGTCTGAGTGATAAAATCATATCTGAAATTACCAGGTCAACATATCATACCTTGGAGGATTAGATTATCTCCACTTTTAATATCCCTTTGGGAACAATTTCCTACTTGTTCCACTCCCCTGATTATTGCTGACCTTATTAAAATAAAATCAAAATTATCTGGGATGTACTATGCTGGCTATCACTTATTCTAAGTCAAATATCACAGTAACTGGCTTTGTTCCCCAATAGAGATGAAATCATAAAAAGCCAAATCAGGACTTGTCTAGTTAAAACATACAGGAAATAATGTTTTAATCCCCCCGAAATCACTTAATCAGCCTGTGTCCTTTATTTTATCTTGAAAAGAATATATATGGTAAACCAGCCATTTCTGATTTTTGAAAGCAAAATCTTAAAATTGGATACTAAAAACCACTATCACATCCAAGAAAGAAAGAAAAAAAAAAGGATGAGAGAAAGAAAGAAATATGAGAGCCATGTATTCTCAATAAAAATTCCCATTAGTAGGTTATTTCATAAATGACTATTGACATAGACATCAAAATAGCCATATTGTAAAAGACACATCATCAAATTTGGACTTGGATATAAAATAATGTTGTATTCTTCAGAATCACATATAATTTTAAAATGACACATGGAGAAATAATTAAGCATATTTTGTGCTCCAGATTTAAAAGAATGCTTGATTTTTAAAAAATTAAAAACATTTGTGCAAATGGAGGTGTATTTACCACCTTAGGTGAAATCATTCAGAAATTACCTGAATCTACACAACTCCAAATAGAGCAGAAAGTTGGAATTTATTTGGTAAGCCTTGGCTGCATTAAAAAAAAAAAAAAAAAGAAATCCAGGTAATTTGGGATTGGTGATCTATTTTGTGTCCAAAATTCTAGATTTATTTTCAGTCTTGGGCTTTCAGCAATCCTCAACGCCCTTTCATTTCATTTTAGGAGATAGTTTCTAAACGGCTTATATAAAACTTTAAAAATCTAACAAAGCCAGATACATTTAGTTTAAAATGCAAAATTCCAAATCACAAGCATACTTCTGAGTTTCCACATTTAAATTCTCAGCCGTCTGTAAGGGTAGGAAACTTGTGTTTCCTGAATGAAGCTCTCTTTCACTGAACATGCAGTAATTTCTAAAACTCTATTTCTTCCCATCGTCCTCAAGGCTATATGCCAACTTGAGTGCTGGTGGCATTTTGCTTCAGGTGTACATTTTCCCAATAACCTGAAACCTTCCCCACATCTGTGCGTGCCTGCACAGTTTAAGGACCGGGAAAGATCGTTACAGTTCAATCACCGAATTCCCATCATTAACTGCACTTCATGTCACATTTTTAAAGAATTCAATTTAATGGTAGAAAGCCACTGGGTAAAACCTGCTCTCGTTCCCTTAATTAACAGATCTGTGGGGTAGTTCTCCCCCATCCTACCCCCACCCTTTCAAGTATAGATTTGTTTTCAAGGGATTGCTGCAGAAAAGGGACACTGTTGGGGAACACTTAATTGACAATTCTAGACTAGGAATGTGTTACCACTCCTGTATTTTGGTCAACTGTCAATTATTCAGGGGTGATTATATTTGTGGATTACTACTACTTCTCTTAACTGTTTTTCTTTCTTTCCTCCTTTTCAGCTGCCTGTTTCACTGCCCTTCAGCTTTTCCACTCAAATGCTGTAAAAATCATATCTGCCAAAGGAATGCAGTTACTTGAAAGTAACCCTGGTGAAGTTTGAGTAGTTAAGACAGAAAAAAAGTGGCTAAACTGAGAGTTCTACATTTAAAACATCATAATCCTGCATACCTCCTATATGGCACTTAAGGTATTGCAAAGTCTTTCCATAAGCATTTTCTCATTTATCTGCAGAATTTAATTAATCACATGATTCCTATCCCCAGATCAAAAATAACTGTTGCTGGTTGGTATGTATACCAATTGACAAACATATGCATTTTTAGAAATACTTTGTAGTTTTCATTTAATAATGAACTGTTGTTTTATGGCCCTTTAAAGATTACAAAGTGCTTTCATAAATGTTTTATCTCATTTAATACTCATAGCCCTTCTCTGAATTTTATTCACCTGATAGAGAAACTGAGGCCTAGAAAGACGAGTCAACGGCATACAAATGGTGGGTGATAGATCAAGGATTCCTATTTCAGTGTTGTGACTCCAATTTCAGCAAGCTCCCAGACACATTCTATTGGCCTCCCAAGTCCTAGTTACCCAATTAGCATCTGGCTTCCCCTTTCCCTCCACCCTGCCCAGCACTGGAGGCTAGGGAGTGATTTTTGTGGGAGAACACTTATGGGTTTGCAAATGCCTGAGATAACAGCCAGGGAAGGGGGTAGGGCGGCACAGAATTAAGTGTCTGAAGTCTGGGACTCAACAGGAACAGTAGAGCAGCAGAAGAGCAAAGCCTCTTCCCCCTGAGTGATGGAAAGAGCACTGAACTCAAGAGTCAGGGGAAACCAGCTGGAACTGTCCCCTGGGCTTCTAAATCACTGTTTACAGGCTGCACAAGGCTTCACCTCTCCAGGTTTCAGCTTCCTCATGGGTAAAATATGGGGGGGTTGAAGACCCTCCCACTGTAAGTTCTCCTCTGGGTCTATGAGATAACGAACAGTGTCCACACCTGGCAGAGTGTGTGTGGCACCAGAGGTGGAGTGGATTGGTGAGACCCCAGCTTCTATCTTCTATGGAGGGAGCTGCTCCAAACTGTACCCAGCCAGTTGCCCCTGTCTATTCTGCTGCTGCAGAGCTGTGAAGAAGGCGGGCACTTGGGCATCATGCAAACATGAGTTGGCATCCTGCCTCCATCTCGCTCTCTGAGTGTGTGTCCTGGGGCAGTTGAATAACCTCTCTGAGCCTCCATTTCCTCATCTATGAAACAAGCATAATTAATGTCTACCTTCAAGACACTGTTAATAAAAATAGCTAGTGGGTGCCCAGAACTCAATCTCAGGTCTGATTCTAGAGTCCTAGCTCTTACTATGAGGATTAACTGAGATACAAATGTCCAAGGCCCGGCACACAGAGCCTATCCTTTAGACACCCTGGATGGACAGAGAGGGAATGCAATGGGGTTTTTGCATTTTGGAGATCATAGATCATTTTGAGAGTCTGCTGAAGGCTCTCCAGAAAAATGCTCAGAAGGTAAAGCCAAGCCGGGAGGTTGCCAGCTCCCTCAAGTCCACCCGGGGCGGCCTCCTGTAATGGACCTCAAGTTAAAAACCCTTGAGAAAGTGGACGTGAAGGTGCTAGGAAAGGCCACAGGAAGGCACAGAATAACAATTAGAACTCCCAAACCGGGAAGGGCCCACTTCATGCTCACTTGAGCGGGTGGCTGCGGAGGGGAGGGGCGCCCGGAGCAGGCGTGCGCTCACCTTGAAGAAGCCCTTGCAGCCCTCGCAGGTGCGCACGCCGTAGTGCTGGCAGGCGGCGTTGTCCCCGCACACGGCGCACGTGCCCTCGCCCGACGACGAGCTCCTGTTGGGCGGCGACGGCAGGCTGGGGCTCTCGCCCAGCAGGCTGGAGGCGGTGGGAGAGGCGGTGAGGCCGAGCGGCGGGAAGGCCAGCGCGGCCGCCCTCTTGGCCAGCGGCAGCCCGTACGGGTGGCCCTCGAGCGCGGCGGCCTGGCTGCCCGCGGCGGCGGCGGCTCCTAGCGGCAGGCTGAGCGCGGCGGCGGCCGTCGGGTCGTAGCCCAGGTGGTGGCCGCCGGCCGGGCTGGGCGCGGGCGGGTGCGGCGGCGAGGGCTTGAAGTGGAAGAGCGGGAAGCGCGCGCCGGCCACCGTGGGCACCGCCTTCATCGGCGGGTCGAGCAGCGGGCCCGGCGCGATGCAGCCCTGCGCCGAGGGCAGCGCTTCGTCCCAGAGCGCCCCCGCCTGCGGGGGGAAGCCCGGCGTGGTGGGGGTGGACGGCGGCGACTGCTTGAAGTACATGGAGGTGCTGGGCAGCACCTCGTCCTCCTGGCCAGAGGGGGGCGGAATGGAAGGCTGCTGCTGCTGCTGCTGCTGGTGATGGTGGTGGTGGTGGTGGTGGTGATGGTGGTAGCCGTGCGCGCGGCCCTCCTCCATCTTGATCAAGGGCCGCGGCCCCGACGGCTGCATTTGGTACAAGCAGGAGGGCTTGAGTTCGTAGTTGCTCGAGTAGCCCTCCATGAAGGTACTGAAGCTGGGCAGGGATGTGGTGGCCGTGGCCGTGATCTCGGTGCTGCCGAGGTCCATGGTCAGCTTGGCGTAGTCGGGGTTCATGATCTCCGTGGTGTATTCCGAGCCGTAGGTCTGGGCTGCATAACTGGAACCTGGAGGCGAAGGGCTATACTGGGCTTGCACGCAGGGCATATCTGCAAGAACAGGGAAGAGGGTCTCTCAGAAGCAAGTCAGCACTCTTTCCTAGCTAATACGTAGCACTGCATTCATTGCTCTCTAATCTGGGAAACAGAGAGAAAGTGATATCCTTTCCTCCTTCTGGTAGCATAGATTTAAAGCCCCATCCTTTCTTCCTTCCTGTCTTCCCTGGGAAGAAAGCTGAATCCCTGGCAGACTGTCAAAGGGCCCACAAGATGCCAAAACTTGGCCTCCTCGGGGCCTCTGTGCCCACCTTCCCTCCCTTGCCCTATCCTCCACCAGATCTAGGGAATTTGATTTCTTCCCTCATAAACCCAGGGATGTTTTACACAGTGGTTTTGAGCTCTAGAAACTAATTGGAGTGGCCTCAGCCACAAGTTGGGAGGACAACAAGAAAGCCAGTGAAAGCCCTGTTGGTTTATTTTTGAGGAAAGAGGCCAGTGGTCCCCCAAGTCACACTCATTGATTTATAAACGTATAAATTAGTCCAAAAAAGGTGTCCTACGTGGGACTTACTGGCCAAGGGAGAGAGTGGTATTCTAACATTTTACAAGTGCCAACTGAGGCTACCCACACACACGTTGTGGTTGCTTTCTCCCACCCTCTCCCCACTCCTCCAAACAGGGCTAACAGCCTGTGCGAACTGGACCCCTGTTGATGACTTCAGCCAGCTAGGTGGCGAGGTGGGAACGTAGGCCCAGGAAATGGACTCGGGGGAGTTTGCGCCATCTGCAAGGAAAAAGATCAGCAGCTGCAACAAAACACCCACCAAACCTGCTCTCTGCCATAGACTGTATATAAATATATATATATATATTTTTTCCAATTCTGACTAATAAATATATCAGTGGCTGTTTTATGACAACAGTTTACAGCTATCATAATAGGTGAGTTAGTCTACATATTTTCTTACAACAGAAGAATTAGTACCCCAGTTTCTTAAGAGGTTTAGTTTCTCTGCAAGTTTGACTATGTTGAGCCCCTAAAGCCAGTGGTATCCAGGGTGCTTACTATTGTTCAGAGAGGTTGAGCTGGATGAGAAGGCCCTGAGAATTACTGGGTCTGGTGGGTGATTTATTTATCTAATTATTTCCCTTTCTTTATGGCTAAATAGAAATGGTAAAACGGGCAGTTTCTGGTGGTTGGTTTTTCTGAACCAAAGGAAAACCAGGTGCTTAACGTCTCTTTGGAGTCTCTGGTGTAGAAGCTGTGACTAATAGAAAAGTGAGTACTTCTCATTTCCTTTGACATCTTTCTCTTACCCACATTTCCAAATCTGATTGAGTCATGCGTGTATGGGATGAAATCTTGACTTGAAAAAAGGTGATGAGGGCCTGTTGGAAGAAGCAGTGATGAAGAGAGGCCAGTTCAAGCCTTTATTTTCCAAGCAGGGCCTTAAAAACAGACTTACAGTTTGCAGTTAAAGGATCACTTATACTGCTGTCCAGTTGTTGGGGTGACATGGAAGGCTAATCATTTAAAAGAAAGAACACTTCCTGATGTTTCATCTATTCTCTTTCTCCCTTCAGCCCCTCTGGGATTTCTCCAGGAGTCTTTTCTGTCATTCTTCCTTGCCAATCCCTGCCTATTGCTCTCCCTTGTGTCTTTCTGAGGTTTCCAGCTAGATCAGCTTGCTGAGACTGAGTTCTATTTATCTGCCTGTCTTTGGTGCCTACACAGCCCAGGCACTTGGTATTCCTTTCACAAATGCATAAAAAGGTGCTACAAGCCAAACTTGCAATTCTTTCTTTTGCCCAACTCAAATTGACTCCTCGGTTTTCAGCTCAAATGCTTTTTCTCTTTCCCTCTGAGCTTCAGTAATCCAAACTTCTGCACCCAAATGATTTGGGTTTTATACAAACAAAAATGCTCTGTATAACTCAAAGTGATCCCATAACTCTTAAATGCATAAACTGGATATAAAAGGAGAGCAAACATGACATTAAAATGTATTAAAAGATCCTAATCTATTGGTGTATTTGCATTTTTCTTAGGAAAAATATTTTTGAGAAACGCAGCGCTTAATTTAATTTGGCTCCTCCACTCGGTAGCAACAGGGTGTGGTATCCAGAGGAGCTTCGTGCAAAGAAGCCACCTGTGCTGTGAAATGCGCAGCCAGCAGTCACTGTCCTGGCGCTAGGCAAGTCGACCAGCCTGCCCCAGCCAGAGGCACAGGGCCCACCCCCTCCCCCACCTCTTCCAGCCTGGGAGGAATAAGGGGTCGTGCCTTCAGACCTACCTGGAGGATATCTTGCGCGCTGAATGGTGGGGCTGGGGGTCTCTCCAGCGGAGGCTGAGAGTGTAGGAGGCGGGGATGTGCGGCGAGGCGAAGCGGCTGCGGTGCTGCCCGGCTCCGCTGAGCGTCCAGTCTCAGGGCTGGGGCTTGCCGGGCTGCGCTCTTCCGCAGTGGGCTCTGCGGGCAGCGGGAGAGAGGACAGAGGTCACAGGGGGACCAGGCTGGGTTACCGCGGCCTGGGCTGCGCGTATTGGGGTGTTGGTGGGGGCCTCTAGGAATGCTAAGTTAATTACAAAGAATTATAAGGGTAAGAAAGCAGTACTTAATGTGAACGGAGTCCCTGGGCAAGAAGCACTACATCGCCTTGGGGGAGCCGAAGAAGGGTTGTCAGCACCCGTCGCGCTCACCGCCGTTTTGTGGCACCCGAACCGAGGCTAAAAAACGCGCAGCCTGTCGTCACCCAGAAATTGATCTCTCTCCCCCACAACTGGTTCCGAGCTCGCGAAGTCAGGAAAACCAAAGGAAGGAGAACACTTGAGGAAGAATTCCGCCCAAAATCGGGATCAGTGAGTGTGCACGAGAGGAACATAGCCATTTTCCAACTCCCTCCCCCCCCCATACAAATTTACACGTTGCATAGGAAATGCACAAGGTCCGGAACGAATGCATGAATGCCCCGAGGAATTAAGAAAGCCTGCGCTTTTCATTCTAAATGCTAATGGAGCTTCGCTTCTATTAGCCGCGAGTTTCGGGGGCCAGGGGTCAAGCAAACAAAAGGGCACAGTGGAAATAGGCCCGCACTGGAAACAAGGCGGTTTGCGTTCGAGGCCGGTGGGGCGGGCGGAGGGAGGCCCTCCACACCCAGCGGGCGGTATCCCCGAGGGTGGGCGACTTCGAGGCTCAGGGCCATCCGGCGGCCCGGAGGGGGCACATTCCGGAGGGCGCCGAGCGCGCCTCCGGGGCGAGCGTCCCTGCGCACAGCCTCAGCGAAACTTTGTAGCTGTAAGCGCAGTTCCGCGGGCCTCGGGAAGGATCCCACTGGCCCAAACTCTGGCCTATAGCGCCCCCTTTGCCTGGACCCATTCACAGCTTGAGGGGTGGGAACGTGGACCGAAAAAACCCAAAACCAAAAAACCTCGTGAATGCGCGGGCCGAGAAGGTCGTGTAAGTTTCGTTCCCCGGCACCCCTGCGCCCGGGGCTTGCCTGAAGGGGAGGGGTCGGAGCCCCCAGATCCAGGAAGCCCTCTAAGGCCAGGAAATGGGGGATTCCTTTGCTACCCTAAGCCCCAGCTGATCCTACGGAAAGCTTGCGCTGGCTCTAGCGCAAGCACGGGCAGATCTTCCCATGGCTGTAGCATGCGCTTCCCGTCCCCCCTCGCATCTTCTGTGGGGGTCTTCAGCAACCTCCCACCACCTCTCCAGTAGGTGCCCGCATTCCCGCCCTTCCCCGGGGCCTTTCCAGCCAAGTCTTTCTCCGAGGATCGGCCTCTGACTCCGGTGGGCGAGGGTCGCGTCTCCTCAAGGAAGGGGCTCCCCTCGAGAGCCCGGCGTTCGCGGGAGAGTGCCACACCACGTTTCCTACAGCCCAGCCGAGCGCCCCACGGCTCTCTCCGCCCCCCCAAATGGCCGGTTACCTAGGCAAAGCCTCCGCGCCTGGAAACACGTTCTGCCGCTCCCGCTCGCGGCCGCCGGGGCCGGGAGCACGGAGCCTCGGGGTTGTAAATTAGGAAGAAATAACTACCTCTGTCAAAGCCCCTTTCTTTCTCGTGGGCAGGCGAAAGGAACACCCCCGTGTTCCCCTCCCCGTAGTGAAGTGTATGGAGGAAACCGTGAAACGCACCATTGTGACCGGGGCTCCTCCGCGGAGTTTCCAACCCTGGGGAGCGGGGGCGGAGGTTGGGCGGGGGCAGGAGGAGAGGAGAGACCGACAGCAAGGGAAAGACAGAGATTCTCAGAAAGACCGAGGGAGAGGAGACGAACCGCGGGGGAGAATTTCTGCGAGCGCACGGTCCCGGGGAAGGGGGTGGGTGGGTGAGGGGGGAGTGAGCGGGTGTGGAGGCTGCTCGGTCTAAGCAGTCTTTGATATTCACATTACGAGCATCTTGTTAAGATAACTCCAATAAACTCTAACTTCACTCATTGTGCCCAGTAGCCGCGTTGGGCAGCTCTTTCTTTCCCCAACTCAGTTCTATAAAATATTTCTCCGTCGTGGGAAAAGAAGATTCAGGATTGGCTTCGCGATGAAATGACTGAACGGCACCCGATACCTCTCTCCTGGCACCCTAAAGCTCTGGGAAAACAGCCCGAGATTTCTGATTACCAAACGCCTTGCAGCTTTTCCCTCGGGAGAATCCGGAGGCATAAATAAAAAGCAATCTCCAAGAACGTTCTTTGGAATCAAGGGACAAACACTTTCTCTTTCATGACTGCCCCAAGCTTCCAACAGGTTCGAGAGGTGCCTTTGGAAGTCAGTCTCCGCAGGCTGCGCTCGCATGACCGCTCTCCCCTCACCGCTGAGAACTTTCATTTCTATTAAAACACTCGGAGCAACTTCTCCAAAAGCGCGAGTTCTGTCAGTTAAAACATTTCTTTCCCACACTGAGCCAAGGATCGGAGGAGAGAGACACCGTCCCCACGCGTGTCGGGGCGCGGGAGCCGGCAATTACACCCGATTACCTCCGAAGGGAAAAGTGTAAACCGGCAAGTCGGCGACGCCAGGCAGACGTGCCTAGTGGAGCCCCAGGCTCATTTCAATACAATAAGCCACATTCCTACAATTACGCTCTCTTTCCTGAGATCCTCGGAACGCCTTTGCAAACTCCGGCCGCTGCTGCCCAGGCCCCTTCCCTCCCAAGCTTCCCCCCAGTCAACCAGCTCGGAGTCACCTTTAGGTATATTAACTTAGACCCACCGGAGCCCTTATTTTCAATCCTAGTTAAAAGCCAGGGAAATTACTGCCGTTCATCACCGGAGCTGCAACTCCCCGCCGTTGCCGCCGCCGCCGCCGCCGAGAGCATCATTACCATGACAACTAGAGCCGAAATACCCTGAATTACATCGGTGGAGCTGCTAGTGCACAAATCCCGGTCCTCCTCTTTGTTAGAGGCTTTTCGCCTCTTCGGGTGGGGGGACAAATCCCCCGAGCTCCAGAGATCCCCGCGGGCCCGCTACAGGGGAAAAGTTTCAGATCAGAACCCACTGGCCACTCGGAGAGCAAAGCCGGAGAGAGGAGGCAAGGGGGAAAACCCCACACTTAAAGTTGTCAATTTCAGGAGCGACGCTTCCCAGCGCGCCAACTTTTTAGCAAGTCCCCCAATTAACTGGTCGAATCTCATACGTACTTGAGTGCTGTGGCGGTTCCGTCTTTAGAGCGAGTTTCTAGAGAGCTGTTCCGAAATCTGCACTGAGGGGAGTGACAGCTGCTGTCCCGGAAGGGCTGCCGTGTACAAGCCCAGTGGCTCCCAGAGGCGGTGAGTGGCTGGCAAGAGATGCTGCGATCCCGACTCATGGGAGAGCGCCGCCGAGGGGTTCCGCGAGCGTCCTAGCTCGGGCCGCGACCAGGGGGGAGGATGCCGCCGCTGTTCCCACCTCCACGGCCACCGCCGGCGCTGTCAGCGTTGCAAGGTGAGCCCAGGAGGGGCGTCCGGCTGCCGCGCGGCTCTGCACCCGCGAGGGCGCAGGGCGAGAGGGGTGTGAGCGCGCGGGAGAGAGTGGAGTGTGTGTGCGCGCGTGTGTCTGTGTGTGCGAGTGAGGGAGCGGGTGTGAGCTTGTCTGTGTGTAGGGAGCGGAGGAGGAGCAGGAGCTGGAGGGGTGGGGGGCGGGAGGCAGGAGACTCCGCTCTCCCGGCTGCGCGTTCGCTCGCTCTCTCGGCACGTCATTTATGCCACAGGAGCCCTAGCGGCCTCTCCATAGAGTGCCTGGAATGCGAGACGTCAATGTGACGCCATGGGACGCTACGTCACCCTCCTCCTCCCTCCCCTGGCCCAGCCGGTTCCGCGTGTGCGAGGGAGGGTGTGTGTGTGTGTATGTGTGTGTGTGTGTGTGTGTGCATGTACGCGCGCGCGCGCGTTCCCCGGCCATTCCCAGGGCAGCACAATGGAAACTGCATCGCGTGGCCAGCCCCAGCCCGGAGGCCTTTGGGACCCGCGCTGCCAACCGCTCTGCAGCGGCGCTGCTCGCCCGGGCGCGAGTCGGCCCGAGGGTGCAGCGGCCCGCCCGCGGGTCAGGCGGGACCGCCCAGCTGTCAGGCTCGGGTGGAGTAGAGTTGGAGGAGTCCTGCTGGCGCGCCTCCGAGGCTGCCCCGAGGCAGGGAGCCAAGTCGAGGGGGTAAGGGAGAGGACAGCTCTTCCGAAAGGGAAGTCTCCGCCAGCCAGCTTCTCCGAGTGACCTGGCAGCCGGTGCAGGAGTCAGGCATCAGCCCGAAGACTCCCTGAGGTGCAGCTGCGCTTCCCCCAAGCAACAGTTCTAAAGCTGTTTACGTCTCTTTGGCCCTCTGCGCCTAGGCGAATGCCCCTCCTCTCGTCATTTGCTGGGCGCGTATTTCGCACAGGGCTGCAGATGGCTCCGGGAAGATAAGGTTTTATTTCTTTATACTTAAGGTGTGGGTTTCCTAACTGGACCCATTATAACCCAACTAAGTGCACGTCCATCATTCATGCGCGCGCTGCAGCAGAAACTACTTAATGTGTATAAAACAAACCCACACGTGTTGAACAGCTGAGCCGGTCTGACTGTTGCAAATCACCCCCCTCCCCCCGTCAGAAATGGAACTCTCAGCTCGCACTTTCACTTTTTGATGGTTGTAGACTGGCCTCCCCTCCCATCTCCAAACTTAAACATTTCGAAATCAATCAACAGGATTTATTAGTCAGTTCCTCGCTAGGGGATTTGCTCTGGTCTCCTTGGGACACATTTGTCGTGAAATGGTGTGCCGAAAGCCTGGGCGACTGTGTGAGGGAGAGCAATTTCTTCCTGGAAATGATGAATTTAAGTGTGATTTTCTTGCTGAAAACAAAAAACAAAAACAAGAGTTAAAGTCTCCTAGTACCAAAGGTTGCATCTGAGTGATAGCAACCTCTTTTAGAAACGAATTTTTGAGGAGAAAATATTTGAGTGAAGCAATGCAGACAGACATGGTCCCCATGTAGCCCGCTTGAATCAGATGTGACATTTTATTTCTTTGACCTGTCACAATCTTTGCGTGTGAGAGGGGGGCGGAGCGGGGGGAAGGATCCCATTGTCCACAGCACACGTTTCAGAATCGAAGAAGGTTCGATCTAGCACCAGAAACTTGAAAACAAAACTAATATACATATGACATGGGTCTATTTTTTCGCCTCCACTTCCACTTCAGACAGGGTGGTGTGGAGAAGACCGTGGGAGGATGCTCCGAAAGTTGACCCGGCGGAGGGGAACCGAGCTTCTGCACTGCCACGGCTTCCAAACCAGTCTCGGACGGAAGGAGGGCGCTGCTGCATTGTATCCATTCAAAGCTGGGGGCTGGGGGGAGCAGGACCTGGAGCCGCGCGGCGCTGACGCACGCGAGGCGCGTGATTGACGCAGGCAATGTTACTAAATTCGGCGGTTGGCCGGCCCCGCCGCCGGCGCGCGCCGCAGATAGCGGAGTAGGTTCCCCTCGGTCACCCCCGCCCCTTCTCCATTCAGCGCTGCGCGGGGCGGGGCGCGCGGGGCGGGGCGGGGCGGGGTGCGCGCGGCCGCGCCGGGATCCGGCCGCACCAAATATAGCCGGGCCTGGCTATTTTTAGCCGGGCCTCGGGCGCGAGCGCGCCGCGTGAGGGGGCGCCCTGACCCCGCCGGGCGTGCGGAGGGGGCGGGGGCGGAGTCGCCATCTTGGACTCCGCTCGACCCCGTCTGGTGACCGGGGGCTCTGGGCCGGTCTCGGCGCAGGGGGTCGGGGTGAGTGGATGTGAGTCGTGGGAGAGAAGGGGGCGCGGGCGGTGACCGGAGAGGAGGGCGAGGCGCGGGCGCGGGGTCCGCCACCAGGGGGGGCGCGGGCGAGGGAGCCGGGCGCGCGGCCCGCTGGGCGTGCGCGCGAGTCGGACGGTGATCCCCGCCCGCCAGCGGGCCAGGCAGTCCTGCCACCCGGCGGCCCGGCCAGCCCCGAGCCGCGTGGGGGCGGAGCCGCCCGCGGCCACCACTTCCTGAGAGCCGGGGATACCCCTCCCGAACGTCACGGAGGAGCCGAGGCGGCGGTGGCGGCCCGGGGCTCATCCTGCACTTGCATCACGGGTGCAGCAGCAGCTGCTCTGCTCCTTTGTGGCTTTTTCCCCTGTTGAGTAACTGCTTTGTTAACTGAAAATACCATGACGGGCCAGTGTGATCACCAGCTCCAGACCTCAAAGAAAGTGAAGCTGTCAGGCAAGAAGAGGGAGACTCCCCTAGCCGGCTGCGATGGTATCTGGTGGGTGGGTGTGTAGAGAAGCACTTGACAGTTTCCACGTATTACTTCTTGCCTAATGCTTCACCCCCAAGAAGGTTTAAAAATACTTTTATTTCCATGCTGTAAAAAATTCGTGTTCTGCACCCCACCCATTCCCCGTTCAACTTGAAATCCCATACAGAGTTGGAATCAGTGTAAAACAGGAACCCTAAAATTAGGTACCGTTTTTAGGAAACAGGACACCTTTCAATGAATTTATTGAATAAGCGATGTTTTCTAAATGTTAATATATAAAAGGTCCTTGCCCACTCAAGGTACTTATAAAGCTACTAACCAAGTTTGTTCATATGAACTGGGATCCCTCAGTGACAGTTTTAAATCCATGTTTGTTTACCTTAAAAAAAAATTCCATTCCTGGCTGAATATCTCCAGGTTTAGCTTTTCTTTCTTTTGAGTGGGTGTGTCTTTCTGGACATTTATGTTGGTTAATTCTGCGCTGCCCCCTCCCCCCACCTGCCGCGTTTAGATCTTTTCCTTCCTGAGTATTGGTCACCAATCTTTGTTCCTGGACTGCTGTTAGGCTGAGGGCTGTTGTCTGATTGCATTCAGCCAATCAGCTGGCTTAGTGCTCCTCTGGGTAGGAAGCTGGACTGGCTGTTGGAGAGGTTCCAGTGGTCACTGATAAGTGGTAACATTTTTGCACTCAAATGGAAAGTCACGGAAGCAGAGACAAGGCTCTCTTACAAACTGGGACACCCTCCTCTGCTTAATCCTAGGTCCCTAAACATATGCAGTTCTTTAGGTGACCTCAAACCGAATGAATCATTCTCTTCTCTTTTTGAAATTAATATGTATTATTGTTCTATACTACCTTTTCAAAAGTCTGATTTACTAGAAATCAGGCATAATGCTGTTCTGTCAGGCGTATGTAATATCACTATTTCAGTAATCTACCTTTTTGATGACTGTTTTTTATTAAATGAAACTTAATACTTGATAATAAAATCTCTTCTTTTGGGAAATAAAATAGAATAAGACTACCTTAATCTGTGAAATGTTGAAAACCTACCTGGTTTGGTCCTTTTTCTAGCAGAGGGACATTCATGTGTGGCCTAGTTTACACACACAAAGCAAAGAAAGCAGTTACCTTCTGCCTTCATGGCAAGCCACTCTGTTAAAAACTCTTTCTATGAAGTAACTATTACAGATTCACTGGATAATTACCTTTCATTTTGTTTTGGTTTTGTAGGTGTAGTCTGTCTGCAAGAAAGAAAGTGCTCTTTCTCTTGGAAAATAAAATATGAAATTTGGGGGAAATTTATTGTGTGATATAAAGCAATTGCTTTAACAAAGTGGGATTTAAAAAATTGCTTTAAATGCTCTTCTAAGTAATGACATATAATCTTGTTGGTTTTGCTAAGATGTAAAGAATGGTGATGAGTCTTATTAATGCAAAGATTGGGTGAGGAAAGGTGAAATAAAAATTCGGAGCCAGAAGTTGTTACCTAAGGTGAAAATAGGAAGGAAAAGTAGAAAAATTGTGTGTAAGTCCAAGTATCCAGAATCAGTGTAGAAGTTCTATACTATACTTAGGATGTGTATATACGATTTAGCAACTTCAGCTGACCTTGACTTAGACGCTTAAGTGTGCTGGGCTCGGGAACATGGGACTGTTTTGGTAGCTTTCTATCTGACCTGCCTGCGTACCATCCCTTCTTTATCAATTCTGTCATTGCCAAGGTAATCTTCCTAAAATACGGCTTTTGTTACATCGCTCTTGGGCTCAAAACTCTTCAGCAGCTGGATAATGTCTCTACAATAAAACTCAAAAGCCTCCACTTCCTGGCCTCTATTTCCACAGAATTTCTCTTAGTCCAACTGGTGTCCTCACTGTTCCTCAAACATCCTTTCACCTTCCTGCATTTGTTCCTAGTTTTCCTTTTTATGGCATTCCCTTCTTCTCTGCTTATTGATATCTTACCCTTCCTCTAATGCTAGCTCAAGAAATGAACTCGGATTGTTCTTTACTCTTTCAGAAAGTTCTTATTTTACTGCCTTCTTTTTGTGCTCTTATGTCCAGAGCTTATTCTCCTGTCAAACGATAAGCTTCAGAAGCCTGCTTAAGTTTAACATAGAGAGTAAATATCTGTAAAATATTCCCCCATCTACATTTGAATATGAATAGAGAGCAGCCGTAATGTAAGTAACAAATTGTATAGGTTAGGATATTCTTGGCATGAACAGACATATATGAGATCACACATTGTTTTCTTTACCTCAACGCTTGATACTCCTGATGGAATACACTGTGTCAAAGTGCCTGCCACAAGCCCAGACAGCTGCGCGGTGATACAAGGAAATTGCAGCTTGGCTTGTACTGTTATATCTGCGTAGGAAGATTTGCTATGATTTTTTTTTCCTGATAGACTTTTGGTTTGACTCTTATTCTACCTTCTTTCTCTCTCTATTTTCACTTTCTCTTATGCTGCTTTCT